CCAGGCTTGGAGGCCTACCAACTGCGAGAGCAGCTCTATGTTTCATAGTTTCATAGTTTCATAGATTTAGGGTCGGAAGGGACCTAGTAGATCTTCTAGCCCGACCCCCCGCCAGGGCGGGAGAACAAAAAAACCCCAAAACAAAAACAGGACTCAAATGTGCTCCCGCTCCTGGGCCTCCATCCATGCCCAGTGTTCCTGCTGGGCCTGGTCCCATGCCTCCTCCCAGGTGGTCTCCTGGGCAATGTCCTCTGCCTGCCAGGCCTCCTTCCACACCTCCTGTGCCTGCTCCCACACCTCCCACTCACCTCAACCACCAGCAGCTGCTGGAGCAGAAGGGTCCAGTCTTGTGTGCACTGCTGGTGCAGTCAGTGCATCCATATGCCTCCAGTGCTGGGTGGCAGCAAACTGGAACCCACATCCCCACTGGGGCTGGTAGGCTCTACCCCACATCCAGATGTTGGCCCTGCAGAGGCAAGAGACAGAAGCCTTTTGTGAGAGTTTGCAACAATTCAGAAATAAAATGCTCTGCACCAGGGTCTATACACTGCCCAGCCTCAAATCAGGGGTCGGCCATGCACCCAGGAACCATGGTAAGTCAGCTTGGCAGGCCCAGGCCCAGGCCCAGGCCCAGGCCTCTGCCATCCAAACCCTCCATCCCTCCTTGCTTCCCTGGGGCCAGTGGCCCACTGAGTTCTGATCACAGGCAGCTTGCCTCCCCTTCTCCCTTCCCAGAGTTGAACAGGCCACGCTACTGGCAGCACCTACTGCCACAGCTGCAAACCCCACTCTCCCCACTCTCTACTTGCAAGCCAACTGCTCTGCTGCACTGCTGCCCAGACTGCGGTGCCTCAGTTCAGGGGGTGAACAGCTCCCAGACAACAACAGCAAAGGGCTGGCCATGCCCCTGCCCTCCCCACTGGGGGCCTGTACAGGGAGGCACCCTGGGGCCAGCCCCCACCTCACTGGCACTGTGCCCCAAGCATGCCCGTTCTGTATTTGGCCTGGGCAGTGCACGGTGAGCTCTTTATGCAGGCTGATGGGTGCCCGAGCCACTATGCCCTGCAGCTGTGGCACCTTCTGGTGCACTGGCACACTGGCGCTCCTGGCTTGGGACCATGAGCTATGACAGAGTGGGGAGCAAGCCCAGACTGCCCTGAAACCTCCACTGCTGCTTGGAGGGCTACCTGTGGAAACACTATACGTCACTTCCCCCCACTGCTAAGGAGGACATCACTACCAGCATGGATGCCTTCCTTGGGGTGTGAGAGTCCCATGCCCACCCAGTTGTGGGAACACAGGCTGCTCAATAAAGTTCTGAACTGTCCCACCTCTCAGTCTGCTGTGCAAGGGGAAACCCAGGGCTAGGAGGGGTGCAAGCAGGCCAAACAGCAAGAGGGGGTAGAGCCAGGTGTCAGGGACAGAGCTGGGACTGGGGACAGAGGCAGGGGTGGGGACTGGGAAGGCCAGGAGGGCCCTCCCCCTACTGTGGTACTTACCATGTGTCCAGGGCTGGGGAAGCTGGCAGCTCGGCATGGGCCTCCCCATCAGTGATGGTGTTCAGCTGTGCTCTTTGCAATACTCACCTGTGACCAAGCATCAGCTCTGGCTAGAGGACAAGACTGGTAGAGGCAGTCTGGGTCCTGTCCAGGGGGGCATACAGGGCCTGAAGTGCTCCAAGGTCCTGGTGTGTGTGCCCCAGGGCACAAAATGGCTGCAGGCTTTTATAGCCTGCAGCTACAGACTGCCATAGAACAGCCCAACCCTGAGGCAGGAGAGGTGCCCAGCCAGGCACCCTGGGGCTAGGCTCAGGATGGCCTTCTAGTGGCTAGGCAGACTTGGCACTAAAGTTAGTTCTGGGTCACGTCTACATGTGCATTACTGCACTTTAACTAATTGTGCCTAAATTTGATACCTGCATTTGCAGGTATCAAATTAGGCACAACTGGTCTTTTTTACTGCACAGTAAGGGCACACCTATGTAGACATATGCCCATACTGCACAGTAAATTAGGCTAATACACATTCATGTGTCTTGTGTAGGCACACCCACAATCTACAATCTGTTAGACCTCACCATTTTTTAAAGTTAATCTACAAGGGAAATGCTTACTTCTGCTTTACCTTTGGCTTTTCCCCTGAACTCCATTCACATATGATTTTCCCTCCAAGAAAATTATTTTGACTTCACTTTAGGCAACATCTAGTTTTGAGGCAGTATCAGGTTTAAGGTCCCATTTTTCCTGACTCTTTGGAGCTGGCCAGGAGAGGGTCTATATTTAGAAAAGAGGATTTTTCTGCTTTCCAATGGAGTACACTAGCTTCAGAAGGTTTCAAATTATAAGACCTTGCAATCATGATACAATAATGAATTGAAAACCTACTTCAAGTTAGTTTTACTAGAAAAGATGTGAGGCTGTTCTGGGGTTTACATTTGCAGCCGGTCTCCAGACCTCCATCTCCAGCACGTTTGATACCCGACCATTGTGGGTGCATCCATGTAGTTCCAGTTCTGGAGTGAGCCTGTGGGCAGTAGGCAGAGTGATTAGGAATACCTGAGACAGGATGCACTACTGCCTCAGCATAAAAATGCCCCAAAAGGCCAATTCAGCTGTATATGTCCCAGTCACTAACTCTGAGAGCTCATTCTGCTTGCTGGGTAGGGAGGAGGGGATCAGTCTTGTCTGAGGCAATGTCTTCCCTGCCTAAGCTTTGCTGTGGGTCTTCCATAACGCTTGGATTCATCAGTAAGGGTAATTACACGCCAGAGCCAATGGGACAGCTCCCGCACCATCAGTAGTGGAAGCTTTAGGAGCATTACAGCAGTGGAACCAACACCATCATCAGCCAAAGGACAGGGATCATTGGACTCCACTGCCAATGAGAAAACCAGGGTCCTCTGTATGGACAGCTGTGGCCATCTATAAATCTGCTAATAGTTACTCCTGCTACTATAACTTCTGAGGCTAATGCCAAGGTAGTAAAGTTCATTTTCCTACACTCTGGAGTGCTGTACCCAGAGCTGAGTAGAAAACTGTTTTGCCCATCTCATGGAAGCAATCACAATTTTTTTTAAAAAAATCCTCTTCTACATTGAAAGATTTTGGTTTTGTCCCAAAGAATCTCATAAGAAGTCAAAGGGCCAGGTACTGGTTGTATAGCTTGTTGGTCAGGACACTCACGTCAGATGTAGAAAATAAAGCCCCTATTCCCTGTTCTGATGAATATTTAAAGAAAATGGAGAAGCTCTAAGAGGATAGATTAAAGAGAGCATGACCCAGAAGAATCAATAGCCTGATGGTTGAACGCATTAACATAGGCATGCCAGGGACTCCTACCTGAGTTTCCCTACATGCCACATAAGTGCCTTAACCGCTGGAATAGTCTGCCTATACATGTGCTGGTTCACATTTGAATTAGAATAGGTCAGAGCAGACTCAGTTAATCATTTCTAATTAAAATGCTCCAGTGTCGCTGCAGCATCACATGTATTAAGCCCCCCATGCATTTTAAAATGGCCACGGGGGTCTTTACCTAAACCTCATTGAATGAGGTTTAGATAAAGCATTCCATGGCCATTTTTAAATGTGCAGGGACTTAATACACATGACACTGAGGCATTTTAATTATAGCAGCTCTCTGGGAACTGCTCTAAGTAAAACGTGCCTCCCAACCCCCTCCCCCACACAACCAAGCATGTGTGTAAGCAGCCAAATAGGTAGTTTTCTCTGATTCTGAATAGAAATTGCATCATCAAATTTTTTTTTTTGCAGGAAAGACATTTTATGTCATTTCAATAAGCCTGTTGTTGGAAAATTCTCAACCAGCTCTAGGCACACCCAATGTAATTTAATCTCATTTTATTTGGTATTTTGGTTAAAGTCTGTTTCATGGACTTAGGTGGCTAATCTAAGAAAAATCAGCTTTTTATTGTTATAGTATGATTTTAGCTGTCATGGTTATGTGGAAAAGCTTGAAAATGTGAATGCTAATAGCTCAAATCCCAGATGGCATATTAGATTAAAAATAAAACACGTTGGTTTCTCCTAAAGATTTTTGGAGACCTCACTTAGGATTCTTCCGTTGTTAGAATGAGAGACACTGCATATTTTTACTGCAATGGTAAGTAGAAAATGTTCTGGTTTAGTTCATTTCAGCTTCATTTCAATTCTCTTCCATTCAGGCCAGTTTCACATGGTTTGAGGTTTGGTAATGAAGATTCTGCACAGCTCTAAATATAAAGTAATTAGGGAATCCATTGGCCATAACAAACATTGGAAGAAAGAAAGCTCTTGTAGAGAAGTTATTTTTTTCTAGTTACCTATTATAAGATTATTGAATATGCTTAAACATTTCATTATTACTCAGGATTTTAATTTAGTCATATTAAGCCACACAGGGTAAATACTTTTTCATTTAAAGTGTTGTAAGTTAAATATTAAATGACATCTCCTTCAAGAATTCTTATAATTATGTTTCTTGATGTACTATTCTCCAAGAGGAGGTAGAAGGGAGATATTCTTGAAAAGCTGGGTAATGAAACAGGGGAGAGAATGCTTGGGAAAGCTGTAAAGACAACAGGGATGTGTGTGTGTACCCAATAAAGTACACACACATACACATATATACACATGTGTGTACATGTATGCATGCATACATACCCATAAGAGTATAAATATATAGATATATATAGATATATATATAGGTATATCTATATATATATAGATATCTCTCTAGATAGATAGATAGATAGATATCTATTGACATTTATATTAACATATATACGCACACACACACATATGTATATGTATATGTGTGTGTATATATATATGTACACACGTGTGTGTGTATACACACACACACACACACACACATCTAGGCATATGTGTATATAGGTATATGTTTGTGTGTGTACGTGTGCCTGTATATGTATACACACACACACAATATTATGAAAAAAATGAGAATCCAATGACAATGTGATTCTCAAGAGCCTAGTTTCAATTATAAAGCAATCCTACCAGAAATCCAGAAAATGTCAATGGCACATGTTTCCATTGTATGTTGTTGAAAATACCTCTAAAGTTTGGAAATTAATCACACTGCAATGCCAATCTTTTAAGCCAGACATCTATGAACCAACCTCTTCCCTACTGAATGAATTACATTGAAATCATATAATTGCAGGCTGCCACTCAGTCACCCTTAACAATAGGCGACTTTGAAAATTGGAATGTTTTTCTCTCTGACTCCCAACTTGCAGGCTTGAAGCATACAGCAAAAGCTCAGTGCCTTTTAAATTACCTAAAATCTACATCCTTCAGACAAATGAACAAAAAAAAAAGGGTGCAATTTAAGGGCAAATCATTTTGTGTTAATCCTTGGGAACTCAAAGCATGAAGATAAAAGAAGAAAAAATGCAGGTTTCACTTTGCTCATTATGGCACATTGACTTTCACCTAATCGTATGCAATTAAAATTTCTTCATGAGATTTCCTTATTGAAATAAGAAAGATAGCACTGTGCTGAATGTGGTGATAGATCTGGCATAAACGTGCTTCCTGGACAAACTGATTTATCATGTCTCATTCCAGCAGTACTTTCTTGCTTGCTCATTTCTCATCTTATTACTGTGAAGTTGTAATTAAAGAGGATCCTCCCACAGAGAAGAGTTCTCCTTCAGGACAAGCTAAAATTATAAATGTGCTGTTCTTTCACTGAGACCAATTTAAAGAGGCAGTCTACAGAGAGAAAGATATATGCCTGAGACTTTGTGGCTTCTGATTCCAGCCTTAATTCCAGGCAGACTGATTTCTGTCAGCCTCAAAATAAACTGGGTTTGTAAAATGGGTTTCCTAGGCAAATATAGCTCTGCAGTTGATCATTTCAATTTAAATACATAGACAATTCAATTAAAGCAATATTGAATTGTCATGCCAGATTTGCATATGAAATGCTATATGATCACCAGTTTCATATACTTCAATGTTTAAAGGGACAATCAAAATCATTTGAAGTATCCTGATCTAACAAAAAATCACTCCATTTTCCAGAGAAGTAGAGTGACATTTGATCAAAAAGCCAAGCAAAACTGACTGCTCCAAGCTGAGTAAAAATCTGAGAATTTGCCAAAGACTTTCCATCGCAAAGGAAGGGGAGATCTACAGCGGTGATAAGATGTATTTAACATCACATTACAAACTCTCCACTAGATTCCCCACTCTTGAAAATCAGAGGAGCTGCACTGGTGTACAGAAAACAAATCTCCCCTCCCCCTTCCCCCCCATTTTAGGCAGCCCAGTTCAGCTCCTATTGAAATCAGTAACAAAAATTGATTTTCCCTCAACGGGAGGATGATCTGGTCTCAAGAGTCTAGTCCATTAAAGGTCTTATGCCTTGGTATCCAAGCACCAAATATCACCATCAACGGGTTCCAGGTCTGCGATGCATGTTAGGACACATTTTACATTGCTTCCAGAACCAGTAGGCTCTAAAAGATGCATTATAGGGAGGGATAATCCCTCACACCACTCTGCAGCCACCATTGCAATCGATTCAGATCTGACCTTGAAGGACAGGACTCAGGAATGAGCCACGTCGCACCCCATTCAACCAGAAGAACAGTCTTTCTAAAATGGGAGTTGGTATGAAGAATACATTGAAAAATAATAAAACGATGCTCTGGGATCCAAAGGCTTGGCTTAATGCCTACTGAAGATAACAGGATTTGTTTCTGAAGCAGGTATTAAAGGTGTGATCCTTCCAGAATGGTGTCAATAGTATTTCATTTAAATATGGTCTAAAAGAACTTGGGGTCTCTCACCACCAAGAATTCAAGTCCATCAGAGATGCAAGGGAGTCATCTAAAAATAATAAAATCCTTTATTTGGTTTATATTTCCCATAATTTTTTAATTTCTGTGTGTACTGATTTTGATTTCATTGTATTTATGGATTCATTTGAAAATAACTATAAATGGAAAAATCCTTTACTAATGCATTTAACAACAACTGCTGCCCCACTGTCACTGATCCTAATGTAGGGTTATTTTTTAAATTTAAATTTTAACTTAGTCCATAATATCATATTGCTATTAATTATCTGAATTGCAGTAATATGCATCACATTGTGCTGGGAAATAGGATCATCATAAAAACATTCAATGCTTCAATCTGCATCATAAATAAAATTCTTAAAGTCTAATGAAAAATATTTTATAAGAGCTAAGTATTATTATTATTGTTCTTATCTCCAAAAGGAAGAAAGGGTACTGATATTCTTAGATATGTGTCATTAACCCCCTTTTTAAAAAATGATTTTTCAACTAAATTAAAGGTGGGGAAATGTTTTTCTTCAAAGTTTTTGCAGAAATTAATTACAAAATATATGTATTTCAAGTTTTCAGAATAAAAACCAGTGTTCAGAAGTTATTTTGGTGGCTTCTCCTTCTACCTCTCTCTCTCCTACATCTTTCCTTTTTGATTTTGCTAAAGAAAAAAGAATGGGATAAAGGGACAGAAGAAATAGCAAAAAGAGGATGTTCTCTAAAACCTCAAGTTTACTTGCTACACAGATTTACTTGAAAAAATATTAATTCTGTGCTGCGGGCTATCTTCAAATGTAATTCCCAGATTTGTTAGTTAAAATACCGGTGTGTCTCAATTTATTAATTTAATTCACTACATAGGTTATATGACATGGCTGTATGCCCCAATTGTATTATTTTAAATCTTAGAATGGGGTTATTAATCTAATTGTTGTATCTGCTTGTTCAACATTCACTTTCCATTAATATTCTCTTATATCTGATTAGCAGGTTAAGTTTCCACAAATATTCACAGAGCCAATGCAAAGAGGATCACAGACAGTGAAAATTCTTGGGTTTTTTTTAACTCCAGCAAAAATGCACTGAAAATCCTTTCAGAAGTGCATGCTCAACTCAAACAAAACCCTGTTAAAAAGGCATTATTTGCAAAATATCTCAAAAGCCTTTTCGTCACAGATGTGCAGGTGAAAGTAAAAACTGCAAAGCTTCTTAAAATGGCCAATTTCTAAATTTGCTTTTGGACATGGTTTTGACACTGAAATAACTAGAATTAGTTTTCCTTTTTGATAGCAAGGAACTTGCAGAAAGCAAATGTATCTGAGGTTGGACATTGCTCGCAAAGTTTCTGACCAAAGAGAATTTGTTTTGTGGCTGGTTTGCTTACTATTAAGTCTCAACAGCTTGCAAATATAGCCAGTGCTGTACAGTGCCACCGAGATAAGAAGACTGGTCTGACTGGTTTATATTCTAAAGACACAGTCAATGACAAACTACAAGACACAACAGAACATACGTAAAGTAAGAAGTCTCAATTAAAGCATGGTTAGGGGACAGGAGAGTTTTTGAACATTATAAATAAGAATGAAAATGTATATACTGAGGATGAAAGTCTTACATTGGCAAGCTTGTCTAACTTTATCCCAACACATAGTTGGTCCAATAAAAGACATCACCCTAAGAAATCCTTGCCTCTTGCATATTTTCTGGACCATCACGGCCACAACATCACTCTTAATCTACTGTAAGAATAAATAAAACAGCATTGCCAACCAGTGGCCTCCTCTCAGTCCCTATCCCTTTTGTTCTTACTAGTTACTTCTGCTGTCTGACAAATCATCTCCCCTACACAATAAATTTGTTATGGAACATTATCTCAGCCTGAGGAAGGTCAGGATGTGCTAAAGGTCATGTATGTATTAACCTACTACATGAGAGTCCCCACCCTTCGTCTAAAATGTAGTCTTAAATTAAATAGTATTGAACTGGCTATAACAGATCTCTCATAAACAGCCTCATTTACCTGACATGCTTTTCAAGATGGGTCTGCAAGCAAATGTCTTGTTTGCTCCAAGCAAAGGGCCACGCTGATGGAACAGTCACACCATTAAGGTCCCTAAGAGAGGACATGTATAAAATAAAATTCAACTCCAACTTTAATTTAGCTGCCTTGCACACTTTAGACTAGCTTTTATTCTCAAGCACACCAACACCAATCCATATTTCCTGCAGCCGATAGAGTTCATTTTGCGTTTATATCACCGAGACTTACAAGGGTTAGAGGTTATATACCCTTGTATATTTTACGGTATATGTTTTGAAGCATACACAGAAATATATGCATTTACATATTAAATCAAAACGCTGAGGATCAAATATAATACATATATTTCCAATGTAACTAAGTTTTTTAAATTAAATTTTAACTTTTTCCTATTTAAAAAAAAACAACAGATCGCAAAATTGCTTTTCTCTAAAGTTTGTGTTTAAATAGCATTAATCAGACCCTGAATTTCATATCCTATTGAGATGAATGTGGTGATTAGAGGCAAATTACCATTTTGCTGCTCTTAGACAAACAGAGCTAACGAGGCAGTAGCGCATGTGCTTATCTTGCAATAGCCATACCTGCACAGTTCAAGCTGGCTGAAAAAATGGTAAGAGTCGTTCATAAAAACTTCCACAATTTTCAAAATCTTTTCTATTCCCCCAAATAAATGACTTTCCCAAAACAGCTTTTTTTTAGGTTGCTATTTCTTCTTTCACTTATATTTTCTTTTTCCATTTGGCCACTCACTGAAAAAGAATAGAGGAAGAAAGACAAAACATGTTACCATTTTCAGATATTGTTGGAAAAACAGGCATTTTCAGCAACAACATTTGAATTACCAAAAGACTTTTTCACAAAAAAGTTGCTCAGAACTTTTGACCAGCTCTATTTATAATAAAGAAAGACAGATTAGAAAAGGAGGTCTATATTTACCAGTATTTTCCAGATTTATGCTCCTTCAGTGTGGTGAAACACCCTTAAAGTTTGGTTTATGGCTGCTTTGGCATTACCATCATGGAAGAAAGCAGCTGGGATTTAAAAATGTACTATTTGCAGGTGCCTGAGTCATTCCTAATGACCCTTAGAATTTGGTACAAAATTTTAAAATCCAACAAAAGAGCAAAACTAACATAAATTACAAGGTCTAAACTGGCATTGCTCCACTGAAGTCAATGAAGCCATTCGTGCCATTCCTTTTTAAAACTGAAGCAATTGGTATTAATAATTAATAATATATTAATAGAATCCTAATAGAATACTATAATTGTGTTCTATTTACTGCTTAATTATATATAATCAATATGGTATATTAATGCACTGTCATAATCATTAATAATGTAAGTAGACAGAAATACAGGATAAAGATATAATAGGCCTGATTCTCCTCTAACTTTCCCCTAGTATAAATTTAGGATGAACTAAATTAAGGAAACGGAGACCTATGGAATGTAAAACCAGTGTAGTCAAGCCTAAGAACTGAACTACAAATAAGACTTCAGTAACAAGTTGCACACAGACAAAACAAGAGTCTGAACCAAACACGCCATGCTCACAGTTTTCACCTCTCCCTGATATCAGGAGTCCTAATAGTTAGATTTTATAAAAAACAATCCCTCTCTATGTGCATGCACCAGATATAATCGTACACAGAGAGAGAGAGACTTATATAAGGACACCCGCCTTCTCCCTGAAGTCCACATACCCTCCAGTTCAGGTCATCATTAGGATTCAAGCTGAACACCATCAGCACCAAAGCATAGACCATGACCACATGAATTAACAAGTTAACACTGTTATCTGGCAACAGTAGTATTCTGTTACCGACCTGCAGGCCAGTCACAGGAGAGGGGTGTCAGGACACATTTTGCAAGTAGCTAACACAAGAACTTGAGAAAACAGTTGACCCATGTCCTGCATCCCAAAGTCCAACTGGATCAGATTTTCTGAAAGTAAATTAAAGAGTTTAGGGCCTTCCTTTGAGTATTGATGAAACCCAAACCTTACACCTTTACATCTGGTCCTTGGTATGACCATAAACTGCATCTGACTAGAGGGCGTGCTGACAATGTGGCACAGCTACTCATGGCAGGGTAGTTCCTATAAAATACCACAGAATAAGGTCTCAGAACCCTAAACCTCACTGCCTTGTGTGTACTCCACTGCAGAAAAGCTAAGGGACATCAACTGACAGAAGCACACCCCCACTGAAGCATTAGGCAGTCAGCAGCAGTTCTTATCTGCTGCTGTCTGGCCAAAGCTACAACCATTGAGGCACCGAAAGTCTGGACTTGGTATGGCCTTTGGATTCTGTCTCAATGGTCTAAAGGGGTGGGGGGTCAAGTCTTGGCAGCCTCCATTCCTCCATACTCTTGCCTACATGTATGCATTGTAGATCATGACATGATGGTCACAGGACTCCATACAAGTGTATTCATCAGGCACCTAACTAGACTTCTTATGCATACAACATGGTCCAGAGGATTAACAGTTGCCTACAACATTTTTACATCTAGAAGCTATTATGTGTTGTTGTCCTTTGTGGGCGAAGATGACCACATCCAGCGGAAGGGGGAGGGAAGAAGGGAGAAAAGAAGTAGAAAATAAAAAAGGGAGGGAGAAAAGAGAAAGGAGAGAAAAAGGAAAAAGAAGACAAAAAGAGAAAAGAAAGAGAAAGGAGCGGGGTGGGGGCTAGGTTGCATGGGTACATAGGTGGCTTATAAGCCCGATGTTTGCCTTGAAGAGTCTCCTGCACAGGGGCAGGAGAGCGATGAGGACTGGGTACGAGAAGTTTTCATTTTTCTGGCCACACATTTCTTCATTGTTTCTGCCATGGGTTGCTGTTCAAAGGCAAGCGCTCGGTTCTGGATTGATGACCTCCAGCATGGATGGTCACAAGCAGTTTGCTCCCACGATCCCAGGTCAATGCCAAAACTCTTTAGGGACACATTTAGGTGCTTCTTTAGTGCACCACAAAAGCATACTCCATTTTACAGCTCGCCATAGAAGATTTCCTTTGGCAGGCAAGTGTCAGGCATTCTTGAAAGGTGGCCAACCCATCTCAGCTATGCCAATTTCAGCAGAGTATGAATACTGGAGAGAGCTAATCTTCTGAGCACCTCAGTGTCCGGGATCTTGTCCTGCCACTTGATTTTTAGTATCTTTTGCAGGTAATGCAGCTAGAAGTGGTTTAGTTTCTTGGCATGACACTGGTAGATGGTCCAGGTTTTGCAGGTGTGAAGGAGGGTCAGGAGAATGATGGCTTTGTAGACCTTCAGTTTCATCGACCTTCCAATGCCTCTGCAGTCCCAGACTGACGTAACAGAGTCTGCTGAAGGCCTCGCTGGCTTTTGCTACTCTCGTGTTGACTTCGTCGTCAATGTGGACAGCACCAGAAAGCATGCTGCCTAGATAGACAAGCCTGTTGACCATTGACATTTGTTGGCCTTTAACTGATACGTGTGGTTCCCAGGATGTTGTGCCAGGCACAGGTTGGCACATCACTTCAGTCTTCTTTGTGTTGATAGTGAGTCCAAAGTTGTCGCAGGCTGATGAGAGTTGGTCTAGAGACTATTGCATGTCAGCCTGTGAGCCTAATAAAAGCTATTAACAAGAGCCCCAAATTATTTCAACTTCTGTGACAGACCATGGAAAAAACATATGTTCTGTCAGCTGTCAGGTCGCTTTCAAATGGCCATACAATATTTTACAAACCATAGTCAACACCTAAAACTGCATCCAGAAACCATTAGAAAGCTAGCTGGAAAACCAGTATAGTATATGTTCAGCCCATATCACCTAGTCCCCATCCCACTGGGCACTAGACATCAACTAGTGTCAAGAGAGATTCCCTCATTCTGCACCTGTTGTTGAATAACCTAGCCGCGCAATCCCAAGTACAGCACACTGCAATGATTCTGAGTAACAAAGGGCACCTACACACATGCTGGATGCCTGCTAATTAGCACATGTTGGAGCAGACTCAATTTACTGGTTAAACATGCTAATTAGCACACTGCAGTAGCCTCAACATCACATTTATTCAGCATCTGCACACTTCAAAATAGTAGCAGGGGGCATAGGTAGCAGAAGCGGGGGCTAACGTGGCTTAGCCCCCACAGACGCAAGGCAGCCCAGCTGGAGGCTTCCAGCAGCTGCAACAGGGGTAGGGAGGGACACGCAGGCAGTGGTGAGAGAAGGAGTGGGGCTGTGGCAGCCTGGGGCTAGGGGAGGGGCAAGCACTGCACAGCTGGTGGGACGCGGGACTGAGCCATGAGAAGCTTGCCCAAGGAGTGCGGCTCCTGCTGCTACACACCACACACCCCAGGAGACATGGGGGCTGTGTGCCCCTGGATCTGCGCAAGGAAGGGAAGGCTGCTGCTACAGGCTGGGGCTGGGGCAGCGCCAGACTCTTCCCAGTGGGGGGAGCCGGGCCAGGCTGTGCTCAGGGCAAATGGTGGTGGCACTGGGAGGGGGATATAGTGGGGGGGACTGCAGCCACCCCAAAATTCACCATAGCCCTCATGACTCTCCCTCCCAGCACCACCACCACCCATTCCAAACACAGCCTCCTGCTGGGAAGAGCCTGGCGTAGCCCTGGCCCCAGCCTGCAGTGGCAGCCTGCCCTGCCCTGGGGCACATGCAGCAGCAGGAGCTGCCCTCGCCCTCCCCCTCCCCACAGCCCCCAGATGAGCCACGACTCCGTCCTGTCCTCCACCCTGGCTAGGCGGCGCCTGTTCCCAGCCCCTGCTCCACTTCCTCCTACCCATGGACCTTTCCCTTCCCCCCAGACTCACCTGCTGGGGGGGCACAGGTGTGCATGCATGTGTTCATGCACTCAGCCCCCCCAAAAAAATTTTCTTCCTCCACTTATGGAGGGAGGGCTTTAAGTAAAGCTCATCAAACAAGCTTTTGTTAGAGTGCCCTCATTGCCTTTTTAAAGTCCAGAATGTTGAATACATGAGATGCTGTGGGTGCTTTAATTAGAGCGACTCCCAATTAAAGTGTTCCCCCCTGCCGCTAAGCACATGTAAAGATGCCCAGTGAGAACAACTGTGCTAGATCTAGATCTTACCAAAGGTTGCATCTGATCCACTACCAATGGGAACATGTACTTCTTAACATTTACCTGGGATCCCAGAAACAGTGGGGGATTCAAAAGCAACCATGCATTTTAATCACAGAGGAAACCTTTCAATAATAGCAGCCCAAAAACTCTCCATTTTATTGCCAAGAGCTTACATGTAGGATTTCTCCCATACTTCCCCATGTCCATAAAATTAACTTGCTGTGTTGTGCTTGGCCCAACTCAAGGCATCTACACTATGTGTCAAAATGGCCCTGGCCACGTAGGACTAGTGTCCTTTTCTGAACCAAACCTTGTGAGAGAATGCTGTTCTCCTCAGACTGCATCAGCCAGACTGAATCCCCGGAGAACAGACCAGGGAGCCGGGGTGGAACTTCCCCAAATTCTAGACTCTATGACAGGGGTGGGCAAAATGCAGCCTGCGGGCCGGACGTGGGCTGCCAAGCCATTCTATTCAGCCCGTGGGGGCTCTAAAATATTAGAAAATTAATATTTATCTGCCTCTGGTCATGCGGCCCTCGATAGCTTGCCAAAACTCAGTAAGCGGCCCTCCACCCAAAATAATTGCCGGCCCCCGGTCTATGAGATGTTGTGGAGCTTTGATTCCTACTCATCTCCACTGATTCTAGGAAAGAAAGAAGCAGGGAGCAAACAAGGAACATCTCCAGACAGCAGTGTGCACGTGGAAATTCAAGGAAAGATGTATAAGTTGACATAGTAT